TGAGCAAATTCAGATCTAGTTTGCGGCAGAATGAATGCAAAGATGAGCTGGTGACGACTATCCGGGCCTCCTGTGCTTTGCCCTGTTTTATTGTGCGTCTCAGAAGAGGAAGCAGGAGGGTCACCAGAACCTGATGGCCAACGCAATTAGTAGCAAATATGATCTCGATATTCTGAGGAGACCTTTTGTATTGAGGTGCCACGCCCACTCCTTTTGGCAGACTTCAGCAATCGAAGCGGCTGAGCAGTCGAGAGAAAAAGCTTACCTGCATTGCATATCAAAATGTCCAGTCTGTCTGTTTTAGCCGTAATCTCTTCCGCTGCATCCTTTACGGATTTGACGTCTCCCAAATCGCACTGGATGAATTCCACCCTGTCGTCATTCTCGCGGAGAACTATGCCATGGCGCTGTCGCCAGGTCTCTTGTGCTCTGAGATAATTGCTCTTGCTTCGCGCTACAATGTAGACTTTCCTAACATTGTGCAAGAGTAACTGTGCGACAATTTCTGAACCAATGAATATATGATTAGGATGGAATGATTGAGCAAAGATGGATGAGTACTCATATGGTAATCATCGGTGTAGGAATTTGCGACACACCTTCCCCTATGCCAGCTTGGCCTCCCTGTGAAGCGAGAGTCATCAGCATTTATCACCTTGCAGATCCATCCATTCTTCAAGATGAGTACATAATACTCACCGTCACCACAGCTACCTTCCCATCCAAAGGAGGCGTGTCCTGTAAAGAGAAGTTTCGATACGTAAAGAACCCCGACATCTTACACAAGTGGTTTTGTTCAGGCTCAAAGCTCGTCTGAGTCTAGGAAGGGAATAACAAAGGTCGCAAATGGGATACAAATTCCTTTCCTCCTCCCTGAATTTCGCGCCTTGCCATGTTTCGACGTTAGGCATGACGTCGAAGACTGTCTGAAGATAAAGACGAACAGATGGCGGCATGCAGACAAGTTCGTCCTACGTCAGCGTGTCCGCATCATTGCGATCGGAACGGAATTGAAGCAATGTGAGCGACCTACGATCAGTGACCACCACAAGGAGGTGGAAAACAGGGGTCCGAGATTCAGTCATTGGTTGATTCAATGCGTGTATTCAGAATTCGAAATAACCTAATTAACTCCGTACCTTGCCCCCATGATCGTGTTGAACCCAATCTATGGATGGATGTCTCTATATAATCGAATGCACACCAACATCGCAAAATCATGAGAGATGAGGTTGAGCTCCCTAAAGCAAACGACTCATCCTAATGATACGCATATTTGGAACGTGGAAACCTCGTAAGAAAAAAGGACGAGACCCGTATTAAGAAGAGTCCTGATTGTGATGGAGCATCCAGGTGAGCAGATCGACCTTGGTCGCAACCGCTAAGGGCCTCACTGTTCCATGCTCGTCCCTCTCAGTGACAACGGCGGCGCTGTTCCATTCAAAGAAACGGTTGAGGACGCTCAGAGGAGTGTCCATAGTAATTTCCATGAACTTGCGGTTTTTGGCTTGTGGCCGTAAGACATCAGCTCCGTTCTGTTGGTCGCCACTGAGCTTGGAATCTGCCAGACCGAGGTCCCTAGGATCGGTGACGACCTCTGAGATCTTGCTAAAGTCGAACATGACATCTGCGACCAAGCTCTTCTTCGTAGCGCGTCCGTGTGTTAGTCGACTGAGGACATTTCCCAAAGTGACCAATCCAACAAGCTTCTTTCCAGAGGGTGCAAGGACGGGAAGTTGATCGAATCCTCTATCGCGCATAATCTCGATAGCAGTCTCACACTGGATGTTGGACCGGACGGTTGTAATGGGCTTCAGTCTTAAGGATTTGACCTTCGCTCCAGCGAACTTATCCTTTGGTGCTTGTGGTTGCACACTCTGCGACACCAATGTAGTTTCGGAGGATAACGAGGGCAGCAGATCATTTGCGGCAAGCCAGTCGTCGTCGGCAAACTATGACCTGTCAGATTTGACCCAATAGAAATAGCCAAGGGCTGGATTGGTACCTTTGTGAGATAACTCCTGATACTATCAGGCAGAATCACAACTACTACATCTTCTTTGCTGAAGGTGTGATCTTTTGCGGCCTGTGCCAGCGCTGAGATCGCACTTCCACTGCTCCCGCCAACAAGAAGGCCTTCCTCGGCGATCAATCGCCGAGCGTATTGGAATGAATCCCTGTCCCCAGTCTTGTACCACTTGTCCACGGCACTCTGGTCGAGCACCTGCGGAATGAAATCATACCCGATACCTTCAACCTTATAGGGCTCATTTTCATGCTCCTTGTTCAGAGCCGCCGGAACAGCGAGAATAGAACCGTGAGGATCAGCCGCGATGACCTTCACATTTGGATTGTGCTTCTTCAGGCCTCGCGCGAGCCCAGTGATAGTGCCACCGGTTCCCGCACCTGCGACGATAGCACTGATTTCGCCATTAGTTTGAGCCCAGATCTCTTCCGCGGTGCCGAGCTCGTGTGCCAATGGATTATTCACGTTTCCATATTGGTCTAGGATATGCGCATTGGGGATCTCCTTCTCGAGACGTTTGGCGACGCCGATATGGGACTCGGGGGAGTCGTAGGCAGCCTCGTTAGGAGTACGGATAATGGTAGCGTTCAAAGCCCGTAGTACGGACACTTTCTCAGCAGACATCTTCTCGGGCAGTGTGATAATAGTCTTGTAGCCTTTGAGGATTTATGAGATTCGTAATCTACCACCAAGGACCGAGGGGAGAGGGACCAACCTTTGACGGCAGCAACAAGAGCTAATCCAATACCGCTGAAAATAACGTAGAGTTTTAGACCATGTTCTCAACAATCACGGAGAGAAAAGAAGGTAAGAAAACGGCGCAACTAACGTGTTACCACTGGTAGGTTCAATCAGGGTATCACCAGGCTTGATGCGCCCCGATTTCTCCGCCTCTTCGATCATGCGCAGAGCGATTCTGTCCTTCACGCTACCTCCGGCATTGAAGTATTCCAACTTCGCATATACGGTCGCTTCAATTCCAAGGCTTTGCGGTACGCGATTTAAGCGCACAAGTGGAGTATTGCCGATGTGTTGAGTGATCGTATCAAGGGCCACTGGAGGGACGGCGGGGGACGTTTTGGACGACATTGTATGAACGGTAGGCCTCAGGAAGGCCAGAGAAAAACCAGGATATCAGGCCTCAATTAGTTCAAGCGAGAGGAGTTTATGAAAAGCCAGACAAGCTGTATTTGATTGAATTCCGAATTGAGAGTGAGGAAAAGCAGATGTGCGCAGGATGAGGAAAAAATCTCGTAACAAGAAAACTCCCCCTCCCGACGTTAGCCGCCTGTCGCCGCCTTCGGCGATATTTAAGGACTATGGCGTTATCAAACTTGTCGCTCTTATTTAGCTACTCTGTATGGGAGTTGGAAATGATGGTAGATTCATAGAGAAGTATCATTCATGTAGGTTCCCGACTCAGCCTCAAGCCCAGAGCTCCATGGAACAAGTACATTATTTGTGGTGCGCTATTCAATGATTCTCAACTACGACGTGGACGTAAAGGTCCTGAAGGCAGGCTATTGTTGAAGTTTTTCTTCAGAGAATTAAGCTCGTATGATTCCGTTCAGAGCTTGAGATGTCCGATGATAGCGTTGATGTACCTACTACTAGTCGAATGTAGTATCCATGATCTATAGAGCGGTAGAGACGGGGACAGTTGGTTCCTTAATGGACCTTGGGGACCCTGAGTGCATGACCTAACAGCACGCAAAGATTCCACCCAATGGGAGTAGTTACAATTTCTAGTAGTACTCCGGAGCAGTACTTCTTCAAAATAGCCTGATCCATTTATGTACCAGATTCTAGACTCTATCAAAATGCGTAGACTCCGAGGTCAAAGTAGATAGGGAGGATGACGAAAATGGAACAAGTTGCAGTGGCTGTGCATGATTTATCCACGTTCCACTTCTTCCCCACTAGAGGCTAGCCCCAATTTTTAATTAATATCTTCCAGATACCAAGTAGTGACCTATCCATGGTACAGAGGCTCTTCAGGTAGGTTCTATCTACTTGGGTACTGGTAAACATAGGCGGAATACAGGGGATATTCATGATGATGATGATGATGATGATAATAACATGGTTTTGTAGTATACATCTGATATATGCTATGTAGCTTATAAGACTCTTCTGCTATCTTCTGTTACAGCAGCTTGCATGGTGTACCCCTTATGAATAGAGCCAAAGCCTGGTACCACCAGTAATTATTATTGAACGACGAAGACAACTCAACAACCCCTTTTCCAGCCAAGAGAAAGAAGTAAACAACCCAGCAATGATATATCTGGTCTAAGCCTTTTGAGGTCGATAGCTTCATTTGCCAAGCCCTCTTGCAGGTTTGGATGCCAGCAGTTGCCTCCGTAAATCAAAATGAAACTTGATAGGTACCCACTCGCTCCTGCTGCCATACCGAGCATCGTCAATACGTATCTTAATATTCGTTCGTCTCTCTGGCCAGTCAAAGCTCGGCCAGCCACTGTGGTTAGTTACTTATTTATCTAGCAACCAGAGGAGGGAAATCTTGCTGTAACGCCACAATGCCAGCTCACCCTCGGATCTGTTTTGGCTTGATCAATAACTCCATTCCTGGGTTGTCAAAGATATTTATTTTCGTAAACATTTCTTTACATACTATCTCGACTTGATTGAAAGTGAAAGTCACTGCGAAGAACCATTTTCTGTCAAGAACACTCCCTAGCTGGAGCGTTACCCATTGGAGCACTATAATATCGACTTATGTTGATGGCCATTTACCTTGCTAGCGGTGCCCAATTCAACTTCGCTTGCTTCGTATTTCATATTTTCTCTCCTTCTTGTTTACCTGTCCTCACCCATTATTCCATCCGTCATACAGATCAAGCAGAGAATAGCGCCACTCTGGGAAGAATCGTCTGATTCGCATAAAGTTGTTGAGAAATTCCCCTTTTGAAATTGCTTCAGAGTGAGTGAGCGTGGGCTTCCGTGCATCAGCATGGGCGCCAATACGAGATCCTCATTTCAGAACGAACGGGTACAGCAAGATGTGAATAACGGGGACCTGAGGTCGGCGCATTTCCAATCAGCAGGGTCATCGCAGGATCAGTCCATACTTCCTACACATAACGAGAAGAGTGCTCGCCGCAATGGAATAGTTCGAGTTGACTCCGCTGGCGAGAGTGGCCGCAGTGGGTTTCATCCAGTCCACTTTTTCGCGGTCTGCTTCAAAAGTACATGTACACTTTCGATGCTGGTGAACGTCCTTTGGCCTTTTGTCCCGGCCGCTATTGCCATACACTTCGCTCGACGGGATCTTCACGTTTGGATTTTCGCTTTGAACTATATTGCCATGGTACCTTCAGCAAACTTGCTCGGCTTCGCAGGCGGAGAGTTGGCAAAGAAGCTACCCAAAGTTCTTGGAATACTGTTTGAAACAACACTGAGTTCGGTCGTCGAGATCGTTCTCTTCATGGTTTTGATTCACAATGACAAGGGGGGAAACCTGATCCCGGTCATCCAGGCCGCTATCCTGGGCTCGATTCTTGCGAATTTGTTGCTTTGCTTGGGGTTGTGCTTCTTCTTTGGAGGTATTAGACGCCATGAACAGTCGTTTCATGAAGCTGTAAGTGAGGTCGGGTCTGGGCTTCTGCTCGTTGCAGGTTTCGGTCTGTTGATTCCGAGCGCCTTCTACGCGGCCCTAAGCTCGAGTTCAACGAAAGCGATCATCACTCAACAAGCTTTGGATCATTCCACTTTGGTAATCAGTCGATCTACCTCTGTTATTCTTCTCGTCGCCTTTATTATGTAAGCCGCTCCGTCTTGGGCTGCCTTTAAGGATTGAGTCCACTTACACAGTTGCACAGGTTCCTGTTCTATAATCTGCATAGTCATCACAGCATTTTCGATGAAGTGCTTGAGAATGACGAGCGCCGCGATGAGGATCGAGAGGAAGAACTGCAGCGCACGAAGCTTACTCTGACCGAGTGTCTAGTGGCTATAGCATTTTCACTCACGTGCGTATGCATGTCGGCAGTCTTCTTGGTCGAAGAAATCGAGCACATCGTTGAAAGAGGCGTTTCAGATAATTTTATGGGTCTGATCTTGGTTCCTCTGGTCGAGAAGGCAGCAGAGCATCTGACCGCTATTGACGAAGCCTGGTGAGTTCGACCTGAAGATGGATTCAGCTGCGTCTCCAATAAATTAACATCTGTCAGGGACAATCAAATCAATTTCGCACTCTTCCACTGTCTCGGCCCTTCAATTCAGACAGCTTTATTGAACGCGCCGCTGGCAGTCATTGTGGGCTGGTGCCTTGACAAAGACATGGGCCTCAACTTCGAGATCTTCATGATCGTCCTCGTCGTCCTGTCAATCTTGGTGGTTGGAAATTTCCTGCGCGATGGAAAGTCCAACTACCTTGAGGGAGGTCTCTGCGTGCTTGTGTATGTCATTATTGCTGTTACAACTTGGTACTATCCCAAGGTGGAAGCCGAGTCGGGCCATCATGCTGAATAGTTTATTCAGTCGCGGACATCTTTTGGCATATGTTTCATTGTGCTTTTCAATAGTGTACCGTTTTGAACAATATGTTTTAGCAGATGAGCATGATTGGAGTTACGGAATTGTAATAGATGCTTTTTGAAGCTTTATATTATCTGGCTAATTCTTGGAAAGACAGTTTAATTGCATCAATGGCTTTTGTATTGTGCTTGATTATGAGAAAGTCGAAAAGAATAAAGTATGTTATCATTAAGGGCAACGAAATGCAGTCTATAAAACAATTGTAGAAATCGTTTCGTAGGTTGGGAGTACAACCATGGTACGGAGGTACTTAGGAGAGAAGCTTAGGCGTGATTCCACGACGGTTCGCTCTTCCGCGCCCAACCATATCAAAACAATGGAGACCGCGGTCAATCCGGCAGTCAGAGTTATTTGCGCTCTCAAAGATCGCAAACTTCTAATCAATCGGAATGAGGTCGAGTCGGCTTTGATCGACAACAAGAAGAATGTTGAGAACATTCAATGGGTGGAGGAGCACCTCGGACCCGACACGCTGCTTTCGCAGGAGGAGCTTACACTGTATGTTTTGCCTTCCCCACCCCGTTCAATCCTAATCCTCTCTATTTTGAGGCGGATAGGCTATGGTCCCTAATCGTATCTGCAAAGATTTAAAACATTGGAGAACTCGGGCGCCTTGCAAAACATCATTTGCGATCCAGATCATGCCGCGACACGACCAGTCTTGGATGACGACCTTCGCAGTGCGATCGAATCCTTGGAAACATCCACCTCCGCGATCCAAGCACAGACGAAGATACTGAAGTCACAATTCGAAATTCTGAATAGACAGTCGGGTCTGCAAGAACAACGAAGGATTCGACAGCAAAGGGACATAGAACGGCTACATCAAAAGCATGAAAGCGGAAGGCAACATATCGCAGCTTCGGTAATAGACCAATATGTGGAGCATCGCAGAACGATTGAGAACTGATGTTTCCCAAGTCTAGTGACCTTGCGCGTGACCTAGAAGCGAGCCTGAAAGCCGAATTGGAGAGAGTAACGAACGATGGGAGAAAGATCCTGTCTGTGCTGGCAGTCAGGGTAAAGGACGATGACAGGATACTTGCAGATCTGGAGCAAAGCGCTTCCGGAGTACAATTTACTACTGGTGATGCCTCTATAACCAAGAGAGCCTCCGAGCTGGGTTCACTACTTGCGGAATACGTGGCGGAAGAGATACACTACCGCCTCGACAGACTGTATCTTGAAAGTGTCAAAGCGGGCGGGGCAGATACGGCTGACAGAGCATTAGAAACGCAAGAGGAGGCTTTGATGACCCTGGGCGATGAACTAGAGTCCTTGTACCCAGAGATTGACATATTAGCCGAGATGTCCACAAGGCAGCTATTCAACGAGCCCATATTACGTGCACTTCAGAATGTCCATGGTCAGCTGCGAATGGCCTCTCACAAAAGGCTTGAAAATGTTGGTGGACTGTCCGTCGGAATCTGTGCGTGATTCAATGGCTAATCATCTCATAGATCCTGGATACCATCGTTGGCATGACGTCGTCTATCGGGAGCCTTGGGGAGCTCCTGCAGAGCCGCGAATCATATTGCGCGACTCTTGAGGCTCTTACAGCTTCCTACAGGACGGAAATGGGTAATCAGTTTTCCGAAAAGCCTTCTTCAAGGCGAGAGACATTGAGTATGAGGAGGCGTTCTACTCCATTGCTATCCATCCCCACCGCTCCACAGAAGCGCATGGATTCTTCAGATTTCCAGGCCATCGCGGGCGTTCTGCGCCGCATTGGTCTGTCGGTGGAGTCCGTGTTCCAATTAGAGGATCAAGAAGGGAAAGACCATTGCGGCGAAAATGCTCTCTTTGACAGGAAACAGCACATTGTTGAGTGCCTACGCAATATTAGCGTCGGTGCTACGTTACCCTTGGTGGCTGGATTGATTCCGAGTGACCAAGCTTCTCAACTTCTTGCATGTGCCCTGAGCGAACATTCTCAATTTAAGACCTCGCTTTTGGACGTGGAACAAGACAAGAAGCTTAGTGATCTCGAGTCACAATTGGGTCAACTTCAGAAGGGGATCGAACAGCTCAACTTGGACGTACTCTACCAGCGTGACAGGAGTCAAGAAAAGTTCATGGAAAAGTGGGCATAGCGAGGGAGCCTTGCGCTTATCATCGTGCTTAGGCCGTTGAACTCCCGTCTCCTGCCGTCCGCGGAAGGAATGAACCTAGCAGAACGTAGCGGCGGATTCCATATGCCTCTTCAGCTCTGTGGTTGCTTGTCCACATGAACGAAGGGATCAGGCATCAATCCTCCTAAGGACGCTGGGAATCCTGCGATCATGTTGGTGGCGCGGCGATCTGATGCGTATAATTGTACAGAGTAGTATTATGGTCTTGAGATCTAGACTCTTGGGTTGATGCTCGGACTGGCAATTGCAACTTCCAACACCTCTCAATGATTTTGATTTGACATGATGGATGTGGCTGGTGCACTACCGTCTGCGCCACATCCCTTCAGCTCAACAGCATGATATCACCAACATCTTTGCGATCATCTACGAAGTTCAATGGCTGACTTGGTCTGTAAGGCGTTGTTGCGAAAACACAATGGAATTAGCAGTAGACTAGGGGAACAGAGGTTGCCTGGAACTACATCACTATCCACAAGAGAAACAGCCACTTCGTCTGCAGGAACCCTTGTAAGTTGTCTAGCCGCAGGACCTGCATCAGGAGGCTCTTCAGGGAAGAAACAAGGTCAAACCTCGATATTCTTTGTTCGATTCGGAAATCTGTAGGGAATTTGTTGCAGCTTTTTTCGTCATCTGCCTCTAGTCATTATTCATTTTCATTGCTTCCTTCGCTTGGTCTTAATGTTTTCAACCTGTTCGGCTGACTCTTAACTGCGCCCCTGTGACCTAAACCAGCCACACCTCATTGTCTCTCTTTACGAGCGTTTACCAGGGACCCTCAGAACTGCTTGATGAGGCTACGGCTGATGGCCAAAAATTGCGAGTTACTTAGAACACAGTCATTGAATAGAATTGCCTTAGGCTGCAGCTGTAGACTAGCCCGCATACGTGCCTGGAGGACTCCCAAGGGTTCTTCCTCCGCATGATCTAGCCTGCTTTTACAAGTTTTCGTCATTATGGTTGAAATACTTATAAGTATCTCAGTTCCCAGGCTTCAAGATGCCCGAAGATCTTCCTTTGTCCGTAGGATAATAAGGGGAACCACTCGTTTGTGTCTTAATGTTGAACAAACCCGAAGATCCTTTGTTGGTCCTCCTCACATTTTCCCTCTTCCTTTAATTATCAGGTGCTTTGAACTCATGACTTCGGCCACATGTCTTTCATCGATGACAATGCCGTTTCGCATCTTCACTTGTCTTGCAACTGCAAAATAGCAAAGTGCTCATTGTCTTCGTCTGTTACAAGAATGCACAACTTCTGTTCATTGTTAGCCCTTCATTCGAGCAAGATACTCGCTCGATACGGTCATAGCATTTGGTGCGCATATCTGATCCTATATATCAAGGCTCAACATCATTCTGGATTGACATCTGGCGTGAGAAGCTATCAAATACCCATTTTTCATCACAAGGGCTTTGGGAGCCCTCCAACTCAACACTGCGGCGCAGGGCAGAACGAATGTGCTTGATAGAGAAGTACACTGACGTGTATCCAATGGAAATCCGAACGAGGAAAGTGATCCACAGATGCTTGTTCAGCGACAGCAGGGGGACTTGCGACCGCGCTCGAGTATATGATCGCGGCGAATTCTACCACGTTAGACAGGCCCAGCCGAGAAGTCCCAGAGGAATGGCTACTCCAAGGATCAGAACCATCGAGCCCAGGAACATCAGTGAGACAAGGTGGCAGGAGGAACATAGACATCCTTCGCCGACGGTGAGATCGTCACAAGCTCGAAGCCGGGCATTTTCCTTCCGAATCCCGATTTTCAGAAGGTCTTCGGAGCCAAGTGAAAGAGAGACCCCGCACGAGCGCCGTGGCCGTCAGAGATCACCTCGTCCCATTGTTGTCGACTTCCCAGAGGTCGAGGAGCGCACACCGCGCAACGAGCGGCCAGCTTCGGCCCGCATCCGATGCATTTCACCACGGACAGGAAGTTCTCCGACCTCGATCAACTCGGAAAGAGCAAATGATGCTGTCGATATACCTTGCCAAGCTCGATCACGACAACCGTCACGTGAGCAACGACCTCCTCGGCCACGAACGCCTGTTACTGAACGTGAGCCGGAGCAACGGAGACCACGCCGAGGTCTTAACTGTGTAGTGGACATTCACAATGACGCGGCTGCATCCCAAGACAGAGAGCGCAGAAGTACAGAACGTCGACAAGTTCATTTCTCCAGCGACGTGGAATATGAAAAGCATGTAAACAGCATCAGGGCTCGCAACCGCTCTGCTGGATCCCATCAAGGAGAATCTATAGACGCAAGAGCGCCAACTCATCGAGCCTATCCAGGCAGTAACGGTTTTGCAAGAGACGCCGAGAACACCAGCAATAGGGCGAGCCACTCGCGAGATAGCAGCCCACATCCACAAGTTCATTCTCCTTACTCTGGAAGGGAGAGGCAGCGGCATCCGGAGACCAACCGCCAACGTCCGCGAATCATCCAAGACGGTAACCGTATCATCTCAGAAGCAGGCGAGCGCATTTTAGCAGAGGGCCGGGAACGCCACCAACGCGGGAATCCAATGCGTAATGTCGAGTTGCGCACTCATCGAGGAGCATCTAACGGTAGATCTGGTCGTCTGCGATTCTTCCAATCGGGCGAGAAAGGCAAAGATGACCGGCGTCATAACGAGCGCTGGTTCTGAGAGAAGAGCATTGAGCATCTGTTTGTAACAGCCGCAGACAAACCATTTCCAGTCTTAGATTCCCATTGGTGAGAAGAAAGGTTGAGCGTTACTTAGAAGGCGTCTCGTGCACCATAGAAGCTTTTCCTAAACACGTCCATATACATGATA